GTAATCAGTATAAACGTAGCAACGCATTCTAAGAAAACACTAGGTTCCAAATGATAATATTCTACCAGGCCAGAGAGAGTTTGTTTTCAAAATGTGGACACTGGTATTCTCCAAGTAGTGTGGTTTCTAGATATACCACAGCAGTTATTCAGGTTTACTGAGGACCCATGGTAGGACGACAATTTTGGCAGTGAATTTTTGCTACTTCAAAATTCTTCTTTCTTCTTTTTTGTTTTGAGAGAATTCAGATGATAAAAATGAAAGTGTCTGTCTGTACTATAATGAAGAGATAGTTGGATCATTAGAGATACACCTTTTAAATCAACAAAACAAAATCGTCTAAAACACAAGCAAAAAATAGCATTCTGAAAACTACCTTCTACAGATCACTGGTTCTTCAAGGCATCGCTTGAAGGAACTCTCAGACATACTGCCTGCTGTATTCCCATCTCAGATCTGCTTGAGTTCCACATTACGCCCATTCTGACACTATGTGGCATGACCTCTTCAAGGTCATGGTCAGCCATAATCTCATTAGAACAACATAAGAAATTTAGCAGAACCGGTACAGTACCTGCAGCTGGTCCCCAGGCTGTAATTGATATTTATCATCTCCCTCCTCCACCACCCATTCTAGATTCCCTCTACCCTTGGCATCATTTGTTGCTTTAGGTTACTTGCCTGATGGAATAACCCAGACCTTTGTCTCTGAGAGTCTGACTCCCTTGGTAAGGTGCCCTTGTTAGGCCACGATTACTACAATTTCCCACTCACCATTATCATCAAGAATGGATGCACCAAGAGACACCTCAAGGAATCTTCTGAGTTCTACGCATATTCCTCCTTGCCCCCATTATGTAACAGCAACCCCAGCGCCTCAAGATAATTAAGAAAGATTTCTCCCACTAGTCTAGTAACTCCTTCCTTTGATTGCTGGACCACAGACGTGAAGAGCCTGGAGTGACCAGGAGGCAGTTGTGGCTGCAGGTTCAGTGGAATCCTTACAATGTTCCCTGATGGGAGGGTAGCCTCACTGGGAACCAGGACCTCTAATCCAGCAGAATCTAAGTTGTAGGAATGGGAAGCACAAATATGAAGTAAGTTGCTGGGAGTGATGGTGAGAGGGGCCAATTTTGCTTCCATCCCTTCCTCCCTAGACCCATATATTTCAGCTATTGGGATGCAGCACCATGTATCAGCTGTGAGCGCAGTGCATCTGATGGAGCTCCCCAACCTGGAGAGTTTTGTCTCTGAACTGCTGTCTTATGTGAATCTTTAGTGGGCATTCCAACATTCTATCAGATCTCCTGCTTCTGGGTGAGTTGGTTTCTGGTAGGACAAGTGGACCCCGTGGTCATGTACCCTTACCATTGATACACATCCTTTGCTGCAAAATGTGTCTTTTCATGAAAGGCAGTGTTATGTGCGATCCCGTGGAGGTAAATCAGGAATTCTAGAAGTCCTCAAATAGTGGGCAGGGAAGGCAAACACTTATAGAGCAGGTTTCATTTCTGCTCTCTCCAGAGTGGAATGTCTCAAGACGTGGAGAGTGGCACTAACCTCTACAACTCTACCTAGGGTGTGAAATTGCTTCTAATTTAAACTTTCTGCTTAATTGATTAACTTGGTTATTGTTTTTTAACTATTGAATGTCCATGATGTGGTAAGCTTTTCAATGTTATGGAAAAATGTTTACATTACACAATGGATTTCTGTCCCTTAAAACTTAGGCCCCACTGATGAGACAAGTGCATTCATGTAATTTTGTATTTTTGAGGATGCTGTTTTTACATAAAGTCACACGAGGACATTAAAAATCTGATAAGCATACAACAAAGAATTTGTTTTGTTGTTCTCTGGTGGAACTAATTAAATAAATGGAGGGACAAACAGGTCAAATCAGTATGTTCCTCTAATTCATCCAAGAAGTCCCAAGAGAATGAGATCTGTTTCTATTGATGTCTTAATTGCTCTAAGTCACCTTGGCTCTCCCAGATCTGGGTAAATAATAATCATAATACCCACTTTTGTGTTTTTGCATATTGTTCTTAGAGTGGCAACCCAAAATTTATTTATTTATTTTTTTTATTGGGGAAGACATTCCTACTCTTATATCTAAAAATACAGAAAAACTGGGGCCGGCCTGGTGGCGCAGCGGTTAAGTTCGCACGTTCTGCTTCTCAGCGGCTGACTTTCGCTGGTTCAGATCCTGGGTATGGAGATGGCACCACTTGGCAAAAAGCCATGCTGTGGTAGGCATCCCATGTATAAAGTAGAGGAAGATGGACACGGATGTTAGCTCAGGGCCAGTCTTCCTCAGCAAAAAGAGGAGGATTGGCAGTGGTTATCTCAGGGCTGATCTTCCTCAGATAGCATGGCATTCACGGGTCAGCCTGAGCAATCAAGATGTGGGCTGTGTTGCCTCCCCGAGAGACCAATGTGGGTGAGCACATGCACATTTCTTTTCACATGGGATGGGGAATGGGGTCTGATTTAAAGATATACAAGACCAGCTAGCTGGTTCTTTCCTGCATTCATTTTTGGGGGATTGGGTGGTGAAAGTTCTTCTCTAGATCAAGAAGCTCCAGGTTTCAGTGTGATCACACTGAGGCCTTCAGAGTAGAAGCTGAGGCTAGACTTATGGAGATGCTGCAGTGGCGTTACTGCTGGCTGTCCTGCTCCAACTAAATTAACCTTGCTGTGCCTCAGTTTCCTCAACTGTAAAATAGGGACAATAATAGAAACCTTCCTCATGAGGTGGTCATAAGGGACTAAATGCGTTGATACACGTAAAGTATTTAGAATACCACCTGGTTCGTAATAAGCATTCAGTTAAGTGTTAGCTGCCATCATCACCATCATTGTCATTATCCTCATCTCATGTAAAGTAAGTAAATTGAACTTTAATAAATATGACTCCATTAACTTGTACTCCAACAAACTGAAGGAGTTCAGATGGCCTAAACTGACGAAGATTTCCAATAACTAACTTTTATAATTATTCACTAAGTTCCCTGAATACCTTTCTTGATACTATTTGTGAGACAAGGTGTTATAGGTTGAATTGTGTCCTCAAAAAGATATGTCCTAACTATCTTGTACCTCAGAATGTGAGTTTATTTGGAAAAAGGGTCATTGCAGATGCAATTAGTTAAGCTAAGAAGAGGTCATACTGGAGTAGGGTAGGCTCCTAATCCAGTGTGACTGTGACCTTATAAGTAGAAAGACATTTGGATGGCGGGATTCGCAGAGGGAAGGTGATACGAAGACACACTAATAAGATGGCTATGTGTTGATGGAGGTAGAGATTAGAGTGATGCACCTCTAAGCCAAGGACGACCAAGGATGGCTGGCGAATTCCAGAAGCTAGAAGAGCCATGAAAGGATTTTCTCCCTACAGGGTTCAGAGGGAGTAAGACCCTGCTGGTATCCTGATTTCGGACTTCTAGTCTCTAGAACCGTGAGACAATCAATTTCTGTTGTTTCAAGCCACCGCGTGTGTGGCTTTTTTGTGATAGCCCTAGGAAACTAAAACAGAGGGGGGTGGAAAAATACCACAGAGGGAGAACACGGCACTCAGACTGAACCCATCAGGTCATTGGAAGCTTAGGGTGATGTTCTGTCGCTGGAAGTTGTCACTGTATGTTTTCTCTGACTGTTTTGACAAAATCCTACTGATCTGATCCTTTTTTCCTCTCATTCTAATCTATCCCCACATCTGCTTTTTTTTTTGGTTGGAAGATTGGCCCTGAGCTAACATCTGTTGCCAATCTTCCTCTTTTTGTTTGAGGAAGATTGTCCCTGAGCTAATGTCTGTGCCAATCTTCCTCTTTTGTATGTGGGATGCCGCCACGGTATGGCTTGACCAGTGGTGCGTAGGTCCACACCTGGGATCCAAACCCGTGAAGGCCAGGCCACCGAAGCAGACTGCACAAACTTAACCACTATGCCACCAGGCTCGCCCCAACATCTGCTTTAAGGGAGTACTTTCCTAACCATTGTAGAAGTGGTAGGCTTAGGGACATACATTCTTTCCTATCAGATGTTTAAACAAACCTCCTCAAATTTTGTGCCATATTTGTTCGTTTGTTCATTTATTCATTCAAGTTTTTTTGTGTCAGAGCAGAGCCAAAGCAACAGGCAGCCTTGTTGAGATTGCCCAGAGTCACAACCACTCCTGCTTCTGCAGGTCTTCAGGAGAGAGAGGACATATCTACTCTTTTGTGCTGATTTCCCCGCCATGATTCTTGCCTCTCCTCTCTCATCTAACTTCAATACCACTTGATTATTTCCAGGGCAAGAGCAGGCTCTCTTCGTGCTGCAGGCATCAACTAGATACCCCTGTAAATTTATACCACTTAAGTTTTCCCAGCTCTAAAAACAGCTATTGGGCACACATCATTTGTCAGGGCCAGTCTAATCTTTCCACAGCTATCATCTCAGATCCAGGGTAGCCAGGCCAAGATTTATTTGTTTTCAAATGCTTTTTTACTTGATGCCTGGAAAATCCTTCCACAATCACCAATAAGTCCTATTTTCACTTTGCACAAAGGACCACACAGTTGAATTAAAAATTTCATAGCTGCTTAACCTGAAAGTAATAGAAGAAAGAGGCAAAGTTTATAAAAGTATCTTAATTCATTAATTTTCTCTTGACTCACGTTTACTACCCCTCAAGTTCTCTAGAATGACAAGGTTTTGTTCAAGTCAGCAGGGACATTTTTTTTTTCTGGTAGTTTTCATGCTTATTCCCCAAAACACAATCTTCAGAAAATTTGTAGTCAGCATTACATTCTTATCAGTAAAAACGACACTGTGATTCCTGATTCCACGGTGCTATTTTGTAAGGTATATTAAATAGAAAAGTAGCTTTAAAAAATACACAGTATGCTTTTTCAGAGGTCTTAAGCAAGGGCATGGACAAAGGCATGAGCCCACACATCAAGAAGGATGCTGCTTGGTATATTTTGAAAAGAGGGCTGCTGAAGTAGCCCTAGTACCTTCTGCTCCTTGATTAAATCTTGATTAAAATCAGCGCTTCAGCTGGAGAATGGGAGGCCGTCTTCTCCTTCCTTTCCCTGCTGTAGGTAACATCACTTGATTGCTTGAGACAGTTAAAGGTGCTTTGGTAGTAAAAGGACAGCAAGATTAATAGGCAGGCATTTCCATAGTAACAGCAAAGCACTCTGGGAGACAGAGCCACTTGGGGGCGGAGCTAACCATGCCAGGATTTCGGCTCCCATGGCAACAGCAGAGTGTGGGGTGGGGATGAACACAATACAAAACTCAGCAAAGGTCCGTTTAGTGAAGACGATGTATAATCAGAGTTGTCAATCTGTTTTAAAATCTGAAGTTAGATAAATCAAATTTGAGACCACAAGCTGATGCAAAACATTTAGAAAAAACTGTACATCCCCTGAAAATTTCAGAAGCATAAGCACAAATAGTTTAAGAACTATCCAATTGTGACAACTTGTTAGTTTAAAAAAATCCAATTACCAAGATTTTTGTCCCAGAGTAGTTGCAGAAAATTACACAATTAGAGCAATTTTTCTCAGCTGCTCTGCTACAGAAAACGAAAGTAATTATACAAAAATAGTGTAAAATACTTTTTACAACTGTAAGTTAGATTTTTGCTTTCTTTAGAAAAAATTCTGTTTTTCTCTGTAGATACCCATCTCAACTAAAAGTTGAAGAGAGACAGCAGTGAAAAGAGAAAGCAAGAGCTGGAAGAAGAATAAAGAACAGAGCAAAAGGTGAGTGAAATACTAAATGACTCAGGAGACCCTGAAAAGAATTCAGAAAGACCTAAGAACTTGGCATTCCAATTAAAATGAGTAAAAGAAGTTTGACACAAAATCGTATTCCTCCCGCTTTTATTAACATCAGATTAAAGTTTTGGAAGGTCTCCTTTGTCCTACACAAAATTATAATGTATTCAGGGAGCTCATCATCCACTTAGGAATAAACATTATTTTCTCTGCAGGCCTTTTGAGTCAGGTCTACACAGCCAGTGAAACAGAAGGTTGGAAATTACCTGGTGAATTGGGGATAGGTTAATTACTCATCAAATCCATTATGGTAAATCGGTATGTTTGTATTTGCTCTTTACTAAGAATACTTGTTACCTTGATGTATTTACTGAGCTTTTACTCATGTTCACTATGAATTTGGAAATTAGATCTTAGTAATTCAACCTATTTCTTGCTCTGGGTCATCTATTCTCTAACTGTACCTTGTGTCCACTATGATCTGGATGCCAAAATGTCATTTAAGCATGTGGAGGATCGGGTCCCAGTGTCTCAGAGAACAGTGATGCCTGTTTGGTAAGCATCTAACATCCAAATCCTACATCTGCAAAAGAAGGTTTGCTATCAGGAACATCTATGGGGTTGCCTGCTGAGTATCAGCACCTGGAATCTGAGAGCTGGCCTCCTCCCCGACCATCCACAGTTAGTGCTATTATGCTGTGACCCCGATGTCCTGTCTATAGTTGATTGATCTAAGAATGGGCACCTAACTCGGACTTGGCTAGTCAAAGTCATCACCCAGGATTTTGGGATTTGGGACTTGGAGAGCTGAGTCAGTCTCTTACCTGTGACTAAAGCTGTAAGATGTAAAACGTTGGAGTTATTAGTGACCACGTTCTTTGTCACATGGAGACAAAACTTCAGGAGAAAAGAAGAAAGGCACCAGAGAAAAGCAGAGACGAGAAGTGGAGACTTGATTTAGATGGTGGTCAACCTCCAGTCCTGTTGTTTCTCACGTCCAGTGGAACGCGTTTCCTGTGACTTGACTGTATCTGCCCAATAAATCTCCCCGTTCCTCTTGTTTTCCTCAAGCTGGGTTTCTACCTCTTATAACTCACAGTCCTAACTAATCTAACAGCCTGTCCCCAAATCCTCTAAAAAACATGATAAAAGGAAGAAAGTGGAACAACCACTTAGACAAAAAACACATTGTGAAAAGTAAACCAAAGGCACAAAAAGCAATTGCTGAAGTTTATTTGCAATTCAATGGTTTCTGAGGAAGGAAGAGGGACACAGGAGGCGCTGTAACCAGGAAATCATCAGAAGAAACAAGACCAGCTAGAGTAAAACTGCAATAAAAATCAGAAGGTGGCAGCTTTTCTAACTACCTGTGGAGGATGATGAGAATCTGAGCTGAAATCCTAACCTAGACTCCTTGCTTTATTCTGCCCATTGTAGGATGTGCTGGGTAGGCTCTTTAAAATTTCAAGGGACATTTACACACTCAGGAGACAAGTCCAACATCCAGATAATAGGAACTCTTAAAAGAATGAGCAGAGAAAATGAAGGGGAAGCTTTGATTTAAGACAATTCCTTTGGACTGAAGGAGTTTCCAGATCGAACATGGTCACCGAGAGCCCAGCTCAATAGATGAAGATAGATCTTCACCAAGACATACTAGTGGGAAATTCAGAACACTGTGGACAAGGAAAGCATCTTAAATATCTCCAGAGAGGAGGAAAAGAAACAGGTGATATACAAAGTAACAGGAATCAGAATTTCTTGCAGTATCTCAATAGCAAGCCTGTTGGAGCAATGCCTTCAAAATTATTTCCAATCTAGAATTCTATGTCCAGCCCAACTACCAATCAAGTAGAAGTGTGGAATGAATACATCTTAGATTTGGAAGATCTCAAAAATGTACTTCCCACACATAGTCTCTAAGAAAACTATTGACTAAAGTGTGCTACTAAAAGGCGGGGGGGGGGGGGGGGGGGGGAAGAAAGAAGAATAGATGGGAAAAGGGAATAACAAGGCAAAGGGTTCTGTAGGACTCTGAGGATCCTAGGATGGCAGCCGTGCACCAGACTATCAGAGCCACTAGTCCACTTGGAAGCAGATTCAATAGTTGGTGACTCTGGTTCTGTGTCCATAGCCACCCTTCCCTCTAGAGTGAAAAGATAGGCATAGTGACAGCCTGCAGTGCTCTACTAGTTATCTGTTACTGTGACAAATTACCACAAATGTAGTGCCTTAAGACAACATACGTTTATCATCTTACAGTTTCTGTGGGTCAGGAGTCCAGATACAGCTTCGCTGGGTACCCTGCTCAGGGTCTCACAAAGCTGTTACCAAGGTATCAGCTAGGGCTGGTTTCTTTTGTTGAGCTCAGTTTTGTTGAGCTATGTAGTTGTTGGCAGCTCAAGTGGTTGGTGGCAGATTTTACCTCCTTGTGGTTGTAGGACTGAGTTCTGGTTTTCTTGCTGATTGTCCTTTGGGGCAACCCTGAGCTACCTGCAGTTTCTTACCAGCTGGCCCTCTCACAACATGGCAGCAAAGCCTGCAGGAGAAGCTCTCTCTCAGAGGACTATGGAGTCTTTTATAACATAATCCTCTCAAGGGAGTAGCTATCCTGTCAGCTTCGCCATATTCTATTGGCTAGAAGCAAGTCACAGGTTCTGCCTGCCCTCAAGGGTGTGACTCATCAGGAGTCACTTTAGGGTGTGTCTACCACAAGACACAATGATGATGTATACCACAGTGTAAAATGATGATGGTAGTGACAGGCACGGAGGGACAACACAATAAAGAGGTATTTTCTACCAGGAATGATCACATTGATGTCTGATGTTCTTCTAAATCAACATCTTGGCAAGAACTTTTAGATGGCTGAAGTGCAGGAAAAAAAATCTGCCCAAATATGAGGAATTATGAATATGTATGTCCTGTCACTGAAGATTATCTCATGAGAATCACCACGTTGTTGAGGAAAGCAGTAGATCAGCCTTTTATACTGCTCTCTAGTATTTGACTGCATGGCTCTAGCACACTTATCTGTCCATTCTATTGTTGATAAATGTCTAGTTTGTTTCTAGTTTTTGACTCCTATTAACACTGCTCCTATGAATACCTTTATGTGTGTTTTGGTATACCTATATATTTCTTAATCTGATAATAAGTTATCCATAAAAAGAACTATAGTAAAGATAATATTTAATGATGAAATATTGAAAGCTTCTCCTCCGAGATCAGGAATGAGATAAAGATGTATAATCTCACTTGTTTTAGACATTTTTCTAGAGATTCTAGTCAATACAAATGCTCAGAAAAAGACTTAAAAGGTAAAAAAGCAGAGAGGAAAAAATAATATATAATTTGTACATAAAAATTAAAAAGTACAGATAAACTATTGCAACTAATAAGTGAACTTACTAAAGTCAATATATAAAAGTCAGTTGTAGTTATGCTCGTAATAAACAATTAACCATTTTTATTAAAAAGTAATCATGTAACTTAAAGTAAAATAAAAATATCAAATGCTTAGAAATAAGTCAAATAAAAGACATATAAGATATATAAGATTTCTATACAAAAAACTACTAAATATACTGAGATAAATTAAATAAGACCTAAATAAATTCAGAGATACACCGTATTTGTGGGTTTGAAGATTCAATGTAGTGAAGATGTTGGTTCTCATCTTACTGACCTATAGATTCAGTACAAACTCTGTGAAAATCCTAGGAGATTTGGTTTAAAGAACTTGACAAGCTGATCCTAAATTTTATATAAAAATTCAAAGGGTCAAGAATAGCAAAGACGTACTTGACAAAGAACAAAGTTGGAGGACATATACTACCAGATTCCAAGGCGTATTATAAAACTACAGTAATCAAGACAGTGTGGTAATGGCATGAGGATGGACAAACAGGCTGATAGAAGAGAATGTAGACCCGGAAACAGACCCACACATATAAAATCACTTGACTGAAGACAAAGGTGCCGCTGTAATTCAGTGGGAGAAAAGAATGTCTTGGCAATAAAGGATGTTGAGAAACTGGATACTCATGTAGGGGAGAATATGAAAATTGATTCCCAGCTCATACTATGCGCAAAAATTATCTTGAGGAGATCACAAATTTGAAGGCAAAAGCTAAAACAACTTTTCCTTTTTAGAAGAAAAGATAGAACATAGTCTTAGGGGTAGACAGAGATTTCTTAGGACAAAAGGCATTAATCAAGAAAAAAATGGTTAAACTGGGCTTCGTTAAAATTAAGAACTTCTGTTCATCATTAAAAACATGAAAACCTGAGAACGCAAGCCAAAGAATAGAAGATAACTGCCATGTATATACATAAAGGACTATTTCCAGAATATAAAAAAAGATCTACAGATAAATG